AACTGAACAAGTGGTGGGTTTCGCAATGCGTTGGACACTGGTGTCGCGCCAAGGTCTTCCCACTTTCCAATTCCCAAATCTTTGAAGTAATCTATGTAGCTTTTTTGGATAGCATCTCTTTAATGAGAGCCTTACTAGTCACTCCAAATTGCTTTGCTAATATCATTAGATTCGTGACAGGATCTACGTTGCCCAATTTTACTTCAAAATTGAGGCACAGACTTCAGTCATTGGTGATGTGCATTCCGAAAAGCCATGCCAGTGTTCAAGAGTGTACAGATAAGAAGAGAATAAACACCTCCACAGTTTCCTAAAATTTCGTAAGTAAGTGTGCAAGATGGTTGTAAATCATGAACATGAGGCAATGGTGCCGTAGAGGAGATCAGCATCGCCTAGCAAGGCGATTGAAACCTCATTGAGGAAGAGCGCTGAGATACAGCCGGTGAAGTTGCGCTGGTACTGCCATGGCAATGTGGTTACCCGTTCCAAAGCGCCACCTATACATAAATAAACTCAATTGTACTTATAAAGAGGTGTTGGCAAAATTATTGCCAACAGCAAATGGTAAAATGTTTATGTGTTAAGAGTATTTGGGGCGCAAGATCGGTCAAAAGAAATCTCAACTGTATTTTGAATGTCTCAGACTTGAAGCATTTTGGTCATTCAAACGACCAAAAGGAGGCACTACTGAGGTGTACTCCGATTCAAATCCACGTAGAGGAGCATCTTTGGGACTCACAGGAGTTGATTAACTTGGAAAACCTCCCAAGTGAAAGAATTAGCCCTAATTGAAGTCGTATGTAAGGGTCAGCGGATTGTCAGTTGCACTACCATTGGAAGGAAGGAAAAGTAGTGCTTGTCAAAACAAACACTGTGCTGGTTTAGGCACTGGAAGGGAAGGTGGGCGAGTTGATCCCCAAACCTACTCATGGTAGGCATAAAATGACAGTTGTATCACAATTTTGTTTATGAAATGTGAAGAGGGGGGAGGATTGCGAAAGTATCAGCAGTAGCAATGAGAGTTTAACGGTAATTTGATGGAAGTGGAGCCCATGGAGGACTCTGAAAACTCACCAAGCCAAATGTTGCCCTCATTGTTTAGCACGCCATCTGTACCCGCCAACTCACCGGACACCATCTGGTCATCCACTATCAACGAGATGTGGCCTCTATTCCTTTATTAAAATGCAACTAGAGGAGTCAGAAGTGGGAGAAAGTGATTGGCAACACTGAATAGTGTGGTTTACCTGATGAAGTGAACAATGTGCCAATCACCATCAGCCACGAATTGTGCTGCCTTCAACGTTGTCACTCGCTTTCCCTCCGAATGAGAGGTATCCACATTGAGTGGAGGTGAGTGGTGCGAGCTTCTAAGGGAGAGGCAGGCCTCTGGTCGTCCACTGACTAATGAAATCGCGACAAACTCTTCCATTCCATGACTCCGTTCTGGAATCATCACCACCAACCCATCCGAGGTCTCCGTTTTCAGTTGAATGCGAACATTGTCTACAGTGTTGCTAAAACAGTGGCTTTCAACAAGACAGAGCAGGGAAAATGCAGAAGTCGCATTTTTCAATCATGCTTTTGCCTGTGATTGTGCAGCAATACAATCACACAAGTTGGCAAGAGTAAATAAAAAGAGATATGCACTCGTTGTAGGAGATGAGGCCTCAATAACAACTTCAGAATTTTAAAGATATGACGGGATGAATGATCGAAGCGATTCTGTGGTGCCTCTATGAGGTGATGCGGGGATGCTGTAGATGGCGGCTCAACTCAAACCTTCAAGCGGTGGTGGTGGTGGTGGTGGTGGTGGTCCTGTGATCACCAACCACCTACAACACTTCTTCCTTCTAAAAAGGTATTTCCTTTGTGCTTTTTAGCAGTGCAAGCAGTTTTTTTGTGCAGCTAGTAAGTAATGGCGTGAATTGTCAACATTTATCTTAACAACGTCTTCAGGGCGAGTAATTGAGATGGTCGACGACTTACTCTTTGTCTATGAGACCATGGTAATTGATAACAGTGCTTCCAGAGAAGAGAACGGAGCCCTTGTAGAGAACTGCTGCTTCTCTTGAGTCGCCCATGCGTCTTTCACCAGCTTGCACCTCCTTTCGCTCTTCTTCACTCAACGGGGCGCCAATTTCATTGTCTTTACCAGGTACATCGTGTTGCAGGTCTTTAGAGGCCATTCCAAGCCTCGTCTAGGCGGGAAAAACGTCTCTCAGTCAATCTCCCCTCCATTTTCGTTATCAACTTAAAAGTGAAGACATTCGGATCTTTTAGGTGTTCGATGAGGTATTTTTTAATCGTTTCTTATGCATTTCAGTTGCTTAAGTGTCGCGTTGGCGAGCCACATTCCGTGCCCACTGTGTAGTCAACTTATCATTTACATTTCACCCTGCTGAAGGGAAGGGTACAGAGAGCAGAAAATGATGGAAGGAGGCGAGAAGGGTACAGTATAGTAGCAGCTTACCGCCAGTGCGTCGCACGCCATAGCCTCAGCTTTTGCCGAAATCTCCCGTTGAGCGGTCAAGTTGTGAAGCAGATCTACGTCGCCCAATGAGGCTGTCAAATGACGCACAAAGGACATGTGTGTGAGTGGAGTGGAACAGGAGCACTCGTAACTACTTCCCAGTGGTCGACAAATGCGTTTCAGCGTCTCTCTATCCTTTGCACACGTGGAGTAATTGTCTCCACATGGTGGTCCCTGCCATTGAGTAGTCGCTTCCCAGTGCTCCAACTGGGTCTCCTTCAGACGATCGCTCTTCTTCTGTGAGCCTCCAGCCAGTACAAGCTCAGCTCCATTAAGGACCACCTAGTAGACACATGCAAACAAAGGAAATTGACGTCAAACCTTCTGAATGGCTCCAACAAACGACTGTTTTGAAGGCACAACATCCTCCAGGAAGTGGCTCTCTACATCCGCGATTCCACCGAGGTACACAGGACTGCTTGAGAGATCGAAGGTGGTCAACTAAAAGCGGCAAATGAGCCTTCAAATATGCTCTGACAAGTGTGGCGTGTGTGTGTGTGTGTATGGAGG